AAGCTATTGTATAACTGTTATCAAGAGGTATTGGGGAGGCATACAAAGAAATTGTTTCATAATGCTGTATTTTATTTCACAAGAAAGTAGAACCAGTCAACAGAGTTCCCACACCTCTCTCAAACCCAAATTGTTTATATTATCAAAGCCAAGCTGTATCCAATGTGGTAAGAAACAGGTAGAGTTGTTTCAGAGAACTCAACTTGTCAAGTGATAAGAGGGATTCAAGTAGAAGCCATCAGAGGAGCTGCATGATCAGTTTATAGAACTGGTTGCCCAGGGATCCCAACTCTTCAGCCATGCAAAATGACAGAACAGAGAAAGCTCTATCCGTACAATGGCTGTCAGAGCTGAGATAGGGTTGGAATAGACTTCCACATTGCTAGAAAAATATTTTCAATGCTTCTCTCTGGAGGTATAAAGTAGAGAAAGGAGCAGTTGGCTTTTGAGTGTCAAAAAATTAAAGGTGTAAAATTTCCCACATAGGAGTAGTGTAAGTGCATGAGGGAACTATATACTTGCTGGCAGAAGCATCCAACTCTTTGAAATTCTTTGTCAGTTAATTGAAAAAATGATCCTTTTTCTGGCCAAGGAGAGTGCTGCTAGAAAAGAACAGCTGTATTCCATTAAATAGTAATTAGGAGCAGGGAAGACCCTCCATAGCACATGATGGCTTATATGTCAATTACTTGGGAGAAGGAAGCACAAAGCACTGTGTTGACTTCTTGTTATTTCTCTTTGCCAACAGTTCAAATGAGAGGACAGAACTATACAGTCTCTACTATAAACACAGGGACGGATAGTCAATTTAACGTTCAAGCTTATGATGATGATGATTAATAATTATAACTGTCATACTTCTTTAATAACAATATATTTATCTCCCACCCATGTCTAAAAGGGATCTGAGACATAAAAAAATAAATAAAGTAAATTACAGCCTATTAGAACTATAATAAGAAGACATGGGGAAAAATAAGGGAGGGATATAAATAAAAAGACTTGGGAAAAGATAAGGAAGGAAGATAACTTGTGCTGGAAACCTTAAGATTAAAAAATACTACAAATAAAAACAAAGCCAGAGGTTACTGGCAGTCAAAGCAAATGAGAAAATACAAGTAGGTTGCCTAATTTTCATTGTTGAGTAAGAAAAAAGCATATTAATTAATAAGGAACTGCAAACTCTAGAATAATTTGCATTGTTGATTTTGATATAAAGGGCATGGAATAATATAATGCATAAAAACAATGTTAAAAAATTAAAGCTATTTTTCATTGGACTACCTTTTGTATCTGCCTTCTTTACCTCATGTTCAAAACTCATTATATAAAATATGTGTGTTTACTTATATATGTGCATATGTGTGTGCACATATATATGTGTGTGTGCATACATATTTTTTTCATGGTATCCTAGAGATGTAGCTTTGGGCCGGGGATTTAGCTCAGTGGTTCCAGCACCTGCCTCGCAAGTGCAAGGTCCCGAGTTCGATCCCTGGTACCAAAAAAAAAAAAAAAGTAGAGATAATTACCCAGAAAAAAAGATTGGAGAGCCTTGAGGATTAATAGTGGCATGTTCCTACATTAAAGGAAAGATAGCCTCTTTAACAAATGGTGCTGTTTGGGAAAACTGGCTGTCCATATACAGAAGATTGAAGCTAGATCCATATCTCTTACCATATACTAAATTAAAATTAAAACTGATCAAAGGTTTAAGCGTTAAACAGACACAGAATCTGCTGAGAGATAACATAAGTAAAGCTATGTCTTGAAGACATAGACATAGATACATAGGTGAGGACTTCCTGAAAAGAAACCCAGTTGCCCAAGAAATAATGTTAAGAATCAAAAATAGAATCATATCAAATTGAAAGGCCTCTACAGAGCAGAGAAAACAACTGACAGAGTGCAGACACAACCTATATATTGGAGAAAAAAATTTTGCCAGCTATTCCTCAGAGGAATCAGAGGAAAGGTAATATAATAATAATGATGATACAATAATAAATAATCAGAGGATTAATATCTAGAATATATAAATAATTCAAAAATATAACGACTCCCTAAAATTTAAAAAATAATAAAAAATAGGCAACTGAAATGAATAGACAATCCTCAGAAGAAGTACAAATGGCCAATAAATATATGAAAAAGTGTTCAACATCTCTGGCCATTAGAGAAATACAAATTAAAGCAACACTGAGATTTCATCTCACTCCAGAAAGAATGGCTATCATCAAGAAATCAAGTAATAAATCTTAGTATGTAAACTAGTACAATCACTATGGAAATCAATATGGAGATTCCTCAAAAAACTAAAAATAGAAATTTCATTTGACCCAGCTGTTCTCCCTCTAGATATCTTCCCAAAAGTTAAAACATCATATTACAGTAATATATTTATACCCATGTTTATAGTAGCACAATTTATCATAGCTAAATCTTGGAAGTGGCCTGTATGTCCATCAAAAGATAAATGGATAAAGAAAATATGGTATTTATATATAATAGAATACTTTTCTGCCATAAAGGAGGATCAATCAGTCATTTGTAGGAAAATGGATACAGCTTGAAACTATAAGGTTGAGTGAAATAAATTAGACATATTAAGCTTAAATATTACATGATTTCTCTTTTATGAGAAACCCAAAATATAAATAAAGAGCAAAATAAAAGATAGTAGGAAATAAGGAGATAGATCTTTTGCAATAGGGAAGAAAGGAGGGAGGAGAGAGACTGGGAATGAAAAAGAGAATTAAAATGTGCTATGTATATGTGCTAACTCTCCACAATGAATCTGATCATTATGTGCTACAAACATGTACCAATAAAATATTCTAAAAAACATAGGCATGTTCCTAAAATATCATAGTTATTTGATTTGGTCAGCAAGCTCCCTTTAATGTAGGGTAAGAAAGTATTTAATATAAAGATTCTTTGAAGATGGTAACATTTTGAGTATAACAACTGTTGCAATTTACCTTTGCCTATAAGAACATCTTTAAAAACTTGAACAATTCTAACTGTTTGGATTGATTGTTTGAAGAACAAGTTCCTAATCAGAAGGATTTAAGGTGGTAGAATGATGCGTTAGTGTACTGTAGAATGATGTTCAATTTTATGTTCTTTGGACTAAGGCAAACTTGTCTTTGAATCCATATTTTGCTTGCTTGTTCTATGACCTTTCAAGAAGCTGTTGAATAGCATTCTTCACAGAATGAAGATGGTAGCTCATACTTTATCTGGAACTTTTTCAGAATTGTGAGAGACAATGTGTACAAAGCCTGGTGAGTAAGTGTTAATGGTTGTGATCATTATGATTGGGTAACTACAAATTTAATATGAGGCCAAGATTAACAGCCATGACATGGTGTGTGTAGAACAATTTCATTTCTGTCCAAGAAAAAAATTAGATATTTTGTGTATTAGATGATGAAACTACCATGCGGTCTCTAAATTCCCTTCAGAGCATTCTCTTGTTGTCATTGTCCAGTCTCTGATAATCTCCTGAAATAAGTACTTCAAAACGGTAGCAATGTATTGACATACAGTACTGGCATTTGACATAGTCAAATTCTGACTCCTTCTATTTTTGGTCTAATATCGCCTTTTGAAATATATACAGAAGTTCCATTCCTGCATTAGGTCTTAAATGAAAGAATCTAGAAGGCCAGCCTTGTCCAGGTCAGGCATCCCATCAGTGTGCCCCTCAGCATATGTTCCTTTGCTGTCACCCTCAGGGGAGAAATGGGTGTTTGTGAAATGTCCCACTACATGATGGAAAGCTCTAATGGCAAGGAAGGGCTACCTTTTGTGGAGCCTTAGTTTTAGCTTGCATGTGGTTCTCTCCTTGGAGCAGTACAGAACTAGTGTACTCTGGAGGCAGACAGATTTGCAGTTGAAACCATTAGATATCTATCTTGGTAAGCGACTTAAGCTCACAGGGCCTACAAAATGGGGACAACAATAGCATCACCACATAGGGTTGTTGCATTAAAAAGCATGTTGGCCAGGGATTTAGCTCAGTGGTTCTGTCACCTGCCTCGAAAGCATAAGGGCCTGAGTTCGATCCCCGGTACCAAAAAACAAACAAACAAAAAAGCATGTCAAGTACTTAGCACAGGGTACATGAGAGGTGGCTACTCTGGTTATTTCTTTACTTTATACCGAGAAGGGTGATGGTGCAGTGGATATGCTGAGTCCTTGTCAGATTTAGAAATCTCTGAGCAAAGTGTTCCAGTTAGACAAGCTGGTTCTTCATGGTAGTCAAACTAGGACACTTACTAATGGGGAGTTGAGGGAGGGAGAGAAAAAGACCAACAAGTTGTTTTCAATCTTCTACCACAATGTACTGAGGGATATAATCCTCTTGAGTGACTATTGGTGGTTAATGCGGATTATAGATTCAGTGATTTTTCTTTTTGCCCAGGGCAGGGAGGGCTTCTTCTAAGTGGTCTGTTGTAAAACTTTCCTAACCCCAGGGAGATCCTGAAATCCCTCAAAAGAGGTGTGTTTTCCTCTTTCCCATTCCCAGTCTTGAGAATCACTAAAACAGACATAAGGAAACCCACTGCCTGACATCTCTGTGGAAGATGAGTGGGATTGATTGATTGCAACAGTGGTTCTAAAAATGTGAATCCTGGACCCATAGCACTGATATTATGGGACTGGACAGAAGTGAACATATTAATCCTATAAAAATGTGTAGAAGAATAAGAACTAGAGAACTAAACTGAGTCAGGAAAGAAAAGTGAAATTCCAGAATGATAGCGTCAAGACACAATTACTGAATAGAGGTGATCTTGTAGCCATACCCTTCCCTAATGCATTCCCTGACTTACCCAAAACCACAACCAGCCTCCCAGACAACTCTAAGGAGTAGATCTAATGGCTTCCCATCTAGAGAGCATCTCTGATTCCTGAGAAGTGTGCTTTCTGTTTCTTCTGGAGAATGGAAATGGAAACTCTGAGAAGGACATGATCTCTGGGTTGTTTCCTAGTGACCTATGGAATGACAAGCTCCAGTGCTTACTACTGCACTAAAGTGATGGCCGAGCTCTTCTTATATACCCCATCAGACCCTGGAGTCTCCTTTCAGGCCATCGGCAGCATGGGAGACTTCTGGGATGTGAGTATGAGATTATCTCCTCTACTCTCCCTCCTTATCAATAGCCTGAAACCACAGGTCAGAGCTAAGGCCAAGTCAAAGGATCAAGTTGAATTAATAGGTTAGGCTAGAGTTCAGTTGGAGGTGGGTGAGTGATCCGGATGTTGATCTGTGAATCAAACCAGCAATTAGGTTAGAACTGGGAATCAGAAGGTAGGCTGAACTCAGTTTTTTGCTTCATTTTGTTTTGTTTTTGTTTTTAAAAACAGAGTCTTACTATGTGGTTCAGACTGGCCTTGAACTCACGGCATTCCTCTTGCCTCAGCTTCCTGAGTGCTGGGATTATAGGTGTGTGCAATCTTGACCAGCCACAAAGTAGATTTTAAATGTGTCAAGGATCTGGTCAAGGTCCATGAGATAGTTGAGAAGTCCAACAAAAAAGCTAGAGATGAGTTGGGAGTCACAGAGTGAATGTCATCCTAAGGGTAGGGGTTCAAGAGGAGCATGGCTCAGGACCAACTCAGCTCATGGTCCAGTTTGCCCAGGACCCACTCCTGGACAGTTTGTACTGGACCAAGTGGTACAACAACCAGAGCCTGGGCCATGGCTCCCACTCCTTCATCTGCTATGAGAATCTGCTGCTGGGTGTACCAAGACTGTGGCAGCTGCAGGTCCGCAATGACTCCTGTGTGGTACATGAGGACTTCTGTGGGGATATTTTGAATTGCTACGAAGTCCACTCTCCAGTCAAAGAAGAGCAACTCCCCTTTGGGCCCCTCAATGGCACAGCATGAGTGAATTTCCCATCAAGGTCACAGGGCTTCCCCTCTAAGCCTGACAGCATTCCAAGCTGGAGGTGGCTATTTCCACTGAATCTTAAACAGATTTGGGGGTGGCTTCCTGAGTCTCAACTGTGATTCTTTGGAGACCTTGGTGAATGTCACTCAGAAATAGGACAGGCAGAGCCATAGACTCTAGACCTGTTCCCACACACAGATCACTATCACACTTCCTTTAAGGAAGTCCCCCCAGAAAAAGCATCTCATGGGCCACTTTGCCCAGGGCCCACTCTGGCTGTAGAGAATGGATGAAGTTGGGCTGGGGATGTAAGTCAGCAGTGTTGCCTCTGCCTGGCAAGCATAAGGTCGTGAGTTTGAGCCTCACCAAAGAGAGAGAGAGAGAGAGAGAGAGAATGGATGAACTTGACCCTGCCACATGAGTCATTGTTGGAAAGTCTCACCCTTGGGACAGATGGAGGAAGCAGTAAAAGGTTGAAGGTGGATGAGGGAAGAAAGGGAAAAGCCTGGTCAGAACAAGAAAGAAGGAGGAGGAAGCAGGGGTCCAGGATAAAAATTTGGTGGGGGAGCTATGGAATTATGGGGTCAAGCAGCCAGTTTCACAACTACAAGAGACAAATGATCTTTTCTGAATATATGGTCCAAATGCTTCCCTTATGGGGATTACCTGGGTTTGGGCCAAAAATGGGTTTTGGCTTTGTTATCCATAGCTTTGAGAAATATAGTAAATGATAAGACTTATCTCTGAGTTTCAGTACTATCTCTATGTAGCTGTTTATCTTGAAAATCACTGAATCCCAGTTTTCTCTTCCAAAAAATGTAGATAATACTTTTGAGCAGTTGTTAGTATCAAACAAAATAATATATATATGAAATACTTATGTGATATTGTATATTTGTATTATATACATATCTCATGTAATACATATCTCATATATAGTATGAGATATATTTCACATGTACTATATATTTATATCACTTATAATATATACATATATATCCATATGTGTGACCATATATGTAAACATAGTTTGTGTATATAGGTACATGATGTGTATAATACTGAAGTGACCCAGATGATCATAAAGTGTTGGCATCATCTTGGGTGATGAGCTTTCAGGCTGGCTCAGACTTCTCTCGGCTCAGATGGATTTTTCTGTGGCAGGTGGACATACCACTCACAAGATGAGCTGGGAGGCTCCTCCCACTGGGGCAGGCTCACAAGCTACAGTGGAGGTGGCTACTACCTGGACCTGCCAGGATCCCAACAGGCCAGTGCAGAGGCACTCCAAGATCTTCAGAAGGGGCACTGGCTGGACAGAGCCACTCGTGTGGTGTTCATTGACTTCTCGTCTACAATGCCAACATTAATCTTTTCTGTGTTCTGAGGTGGGTCTCCTTTCCCTACTATATCCTTCCAGCTGTGGTTCCTAGTCTTAGTATGTTGTGCTTCAGATCATTCCCCAAACTTGTAGCCCTGGTGGACCTGGGAAAGAGAGGAAGTGGGAGGTACTGTCCCAGGCCCTACTAGCCACCTCCCTTTTCCACAGACTAATGGTGGAGTTCCCAGCTACAGGAGGTGCCATCCCATTCTGGCAAATCCGCATAGTGAAGCTGATCCACTATGTCAGCAACTGGGACTTCTTCATCATTGGCTGTAAAATTGTTTTCTGCATCTTCATCTTCTACTATGGGGTGGAGGAAATCCTGGAGCTCCACCTGCACCGGCTTTACTACTTTACCAGCATCTGGAACATAGTGGATCTGGTGGTCATCTTGGTGAGGGATATGTTGGATGTGTAACATAGTGAGAGGAGGAAGAAAATTCACCTTACTAGGGGCTCCAAGTTCTTCCTTTCAGAGCTACAATCCCTCCTTATTTTTGGTCAAATCACCATGCCATAGCTGCCTGAGCAGCTGCCCTGGGTCAGCCCCTGGGAAACCCTGTCTTGCTCATCTTTCCTCCTCATCTGTGATCTGTCCCCTGCTTTATAAGCACTTGATATTCTCTCTTCTGCCTCTTGCCTATATGACCTTGAAAACAGTGTCTTGGCTTTTTCTCTTGTCTCTTCTTTCAAGTATTCTGCCCCTTTATCTTCATCTCCTCCCTATTAACAGGACACATTCATTTCTTGACCTAAGTGTAGAAGTGGGCATGGGAGGAGTCATGTTTCTTGGCTTCAATTCCCTATGGCTCTTTCCAACCAATATCTGTCACTGACCCCAGAGTCTACTCATGGGCTTTAGAACACTTCAGCTGCTCCCCAATCATCCTATGCCATTCCACTGGAACCTGAACTAGTGAACCCCTTATCAGGGAAGGATGTTTCTTGTCCACCTGTCTTACTTGTTCCAGCTCTCCCCTAGGATCTCATATTTTAACTTCCATTGAGATCCCCTTAATTTCTCTGACAGCCCCATGCTTCTTTCTGACAGCTCTCTATTGTGGCGGTGGGCTTCCACATATTCCGAACTCTCGAGGTAAATCGGCTAATAGGGAAGCTCTTGGAACAGCCAAACACATATGCTGACTTTGAGTTCCTGGCCTTCTGGCAGACTCGGTACAATAACACGAATGCTGTCAATCTCTTCTTCGCCTGGATCAAGGTAACTGGGGCTCCCCCTGACAGTTCTGCCTCAGGGCACTCACTGTCCCTTCCTTAATACCTGTCTCATTTTTCTTGTCTGCTTTGACACCTCCAGTGACCTCCATATGTCCCTGGGGTAGACTTCTCAGTGCTTTTCACTTTTTCTTCTTCACTACCTGGTTCACCATTACCCTTACAGATATTCAAGTACATCAGCTTCAATAAAACCATGACCCAACTCTCCTCCACACTGGCCTGCTGTGCCAAAGACATACTGGGCTTTGCCATCATGTTCTTCATTGTTTTCTTCGCTCACGCCCAACTTGGCTACCTGCTTTTCGGGATGCAAGTGCAAAACTTTAGCACTTTTATCAAGTGCATGTGTCTGCCCCGCCGCTCCTTACCTTCCCAGAATTTGTGTAACTTGGGGAAGATGGAGGGGGGAGGTACATGGGCATATCTGTACTTAAAATATCTGAGTGAGAGTCTCTGGAAGCCCAGGTATGTGCTCAAGTAATTTACTCACCTGTTCTGTTGCCATTAGATTGGGTCAGAAGTGAAATCAGGGGTCCATTTGTAGTTAGGAAAGTGGGATAGGGCTGTGGAATGGGGTCAGGGTTTCGTTTGGCTCTGAATGAAGCCTAGATCTTCATCTTCAGTTTCACTCAGTTCTAGATAATCCTTGGGGACTTTGGCTACAATGCTATCAACAATGCCAACTGCATCCTGGGTCCCGTCTACTTTGTGACCTATGTCTTCTTCATCTTCTTCATACTCCTGGTAAGGGTCCTTCTGAGGGCTAGCAACATAGAGGGTCTCTAGGGTAGAATTTTGACCTCTTCTGTCCCACATTTAGAATCATGATGGGTTTAGCAAATCAAAGATGGAGAGAGGCCATGTGTATGCTAGAGGTAGGTATTTTTTTAGGGGGGGTGGTCTTCTGAGAGCTGGCTAATTGGTCATTATGGCCAACATGGTAAAGTGGTTTGCAAAATATAAGGGAACCTGGTGACTCTCTTGAAAAAATCAAATGCCTGTCCACCAAGGATGGTAAAAGAAGGAAAATTTCTCACAAGGAGAAGTAGCTGCCCCTAGAATCTTTTATGCCTATTCTCCAAAACAAGACCCCTGTTCCTCTGGGGCATCTTACTGTTTCTACTGTCACTGCTTGATAACTCTCTCTCTCTCTCTCTCTCTCTCTCTCTCTCCTGAGTTTGATTTTTATTAACATGGCTAGCAAGTTTCTTTATTTTATTGATGAATGATGATACAAACAGATGGGAGGGGCCAGGGATTTAGCTCAGTGGCACCTTGCCTGCCTCCAAGCACAAGGTCCTGAGTTTGAGCCTCGGTATGGGGGGAGGGGACACAGATGGGAGATAGGTAGTAAAGAGAGCAAAACTGTACTCTTGCCCTGAAAAATTTCTAACTTCAATGATAGGCAGACCCTTGTACAGAGGAGGTCTGTGGCTTCTGTTAGGGTATCTCTGTGGTCAGAAAGGTTATTGCAAGAATTAAAAGTAAAGACCTCAGGTCACTGCTGAGAATATTGGCCTCTTTAGAACATGTGTCTGGGACATGGGGTGAGTGGGGCGAATGCTTTTAGTGAGTCCAAGGGTAAGGACACAGGTTTCCACTTTATTCTCTAGAATATGTTCCCGGCCATTATCAATGACACATATTCAGAGGTCAAGGAGGAGTTGGCTGGACAGATGGATGAGCTGCAGCTGTCTGACCTGCTGAAACAGGTGACTACTCAGTCTTCCTGAACTACACTGCTGCATCTATATCTGATTTCAAGGCTCTGTGTCATGGTCTGTTCTGATTGTTATAGGAGCATATATCCTTGTGTGTCTTCAACTTATCCGTGGGAGCCTGGCATCATTTGGGTGGAGAAGGAGGCCAGGGATGATGAGGGGTCTATGAGGCTGCTGTCTGTTTCCTTTTTCTTTCAGGGCTACAACAAGACCCTAACAGTACTGCATCTAAGGAAGGAGCAGGTTTCAGATGTGCAGAAGGTCTTTCAGGGTGGGGAGCAAGAGATTCAGTTTGAGGATTTCACCAATACATTAAAGGAGTAAGCAAACAGAAATCCAACTTTCTTTGATATTGGCTTATAAGTTCTTGATCCTCAATTATATATGCCTATAAGCCTTTAGGCTTGGAGTATGGATCTATGACCTTGACTTGTAGGCTTCTGATCTTCACAGTAGGTCTTTGATACCAACTTTCAGAATTGTGTCCTTGGTTTAAATAGTACATAACAATATGGTATTTAATATATTAGTATATAACAATAGTAAATAACAATAGTATGTGACAATGGTATATAACAATCTTGACTTTAATAATTTTTAAAGCTAATCTAACAATATAGTATAATTCCCTCATTATTGTATATATCCCCTACTTCCACAAAACATTGAACAAATGTATTTGTGAGCACCAGCTGTGGGCCAGGCACTGAGCAGAGGACAAGACAAAATAATTAAATGAAATAAAGTCTTTGTCCTTTAGGAGTTCATAGACATGTAAATTAAAAACAAATCACAGAATAAGTTAAACAACCAAAGTGACTGACTTAAGGAGAGGGAGCATGGAGTACAGAGAGTTCTCAGTTCCCTTTGAGCTTAAGAGAAGGCTTCTTGGAAGAGGTCTGAATAGAGTCTTTGAAGATGAATAGCTTACAAGTAGACAAGCAGAAAGAAGCCATTTTAAGAAGAAACAAAAGCATACACAGAGTCATAGAGGTCTGAAATCCAGCAGCATTAAGAGAAACAAGTAGTTAAGCATTGATAAGGTATAAAAATAAAAGGTGGGTCATAACAGAAGATGAGGCCAGAGAAATGGGCAAGGGCTGCACTGGGAAAGGCCTCTATCCAAGGAACAGGGTGCCCAAAAGGGATTTTTTTTTTTTTTTTGGTACCGGGGATTGAACTTGGGACCTTGAGCTTGTAAGGCAGGCATCAGAACCACTGAGCTAAATCCCCGGCCCCCAAAAGGGATTTTTAAACAGATAAAGGTTATATTAGACTTGCACTTTATTTTGTTTTGTTTCTTTTGAGGCAGCATATGGCTATGTTGCCCAGGCTTGTCTCAAACTTATAAACTCAACTGATTCTTCCACTTCAACTTCCTGAGTAACTGAAACTACAGCCATAGGCCACCATTCCCAGCTATTAGGCCATTTAAAAAATATCAGTTATATTATGGAGGACAGAGTGAAGGGGAAGCTGAGGGAAGTAGGTAGCAGGTTATTTAGAGGCAAGAAGATGTTGCAATAATCCCTGCAGCAAATCATGAGGCCCCAAAGCCAGTCAGCACAGATCAGGACAGGAAGAAGAAATAGATTCAGATGATTTCTTAGGGATAACCTTTCTAGGCTTTAGAGATCCTGGCTTTCCCATATGGTCCCCTTCTTTCCTAGAAAGCAAGACCCAGAAGTCAAGATCCTTACCAGAGACTAGTTTAAGGGTGAGGAGTCCATAGTTGAGTAATCACAGTCCCAAAAGGGCAGAAGTCATTCCATCATCCTGTTCTCCTCAGACTGGGGCACACAGAGCATGAGATCACTGAACGCATGGCTGCCTTCACTAGGTTTGACCAGGATAGGAATTGCATCCTGGACGAGAAGGAACAGGAACAAATGCAGCAGGACCTGGAAAAGGAGAGGGTGAGAACTGCTGGTTGGTGGGAAGAAAATGATATTGTTTCCCTGCCCCTCTCCCCAACATATCTGGGGCACAAACCCAAACTGAAAATCCTCCCATGGGTGAACAGGAAAAAATTCTCTGGAATCGTGGTTCTCAAGCTGCTACATATTAAATATCCTGGGAAGACTTTTAAAACCTCATACTCAGGCCACACATGAATCAATTTGATCAGAAGCTGAGAGGGTGGGGTCCAGATATCAGTACTTTCTAAAACTTTGCAGGTGATTCCAATACATAGCCAAGATTGGAGTGGTTATTCTAAAACATAGTCTTAGGGAAGGGCCTCAATTGCCCAAGAATCCCTGACATGTCCCTGTGAGGACTTGCCTTCTCCTTGGAATTTTCAAACTCTGACCCTCAGTTGTTCCTACAATGCTTGCTCCATCCCTTTCTAGTGTAGACCAGGAGTCAAGGGTACAGTGACAGCAGCCTAGAAAGAAAATGCCAAGAATTCTTGTACATCCCTCCTTTCCCAAAGTGAGTTAGAGTCTAGAGAACACTTCATTAATCAAGTATTAAAGGACCTCACGTTTAGTTTCTTTGGGAAGTGACTCTCTCTCTAGAGATTGTTCAGTACCACCACACTGACCATATTGTCTCCAGAGTCTGGGAGGGAAGGGGAATAGCAAGTACTTAATCCCGTGGCTTGTCCCTGGGAACCCATTACGACAGGTGTTAGAACAGGCATTGATGGCTTCCCAGAGTCACTTCCTCTCTCATGTTTGACTTTTGATCAGGTGGCCCTCAATGCTGAGATTGAGAATCTGGGCCAGCCCATTGTGTATGGCAAGTGGGTCTCAGAGGCTGCCACAGCAGGAGGCTGGGCTTCCGGAGAAGAATTCTACACATATGTGCAGCCAGGAGCACAAAGCTGGCTGTGTTTGTAATACCCTATCTTAAGCTTCTTCCCACAACCTTCTAATCCCTTGCCCTTGTCCAGGGAAAACTGCTGCTTCCCTGTGATTCTCTTTACATAATTGGGCCTTACCTTCCCTGCTCCCAACCAGACACACACTATTCTGTTATCCCTGTCCCTGTTAACACCTAGGCCCCCCCATCGCCCATATTTCTGCTTCCTTGGTCCCTCTCAAACCCTGCACGGGCTTACAAAGAGAGTTCTGCAACTGGAGACTGTTCTGGAAGGAGTCATGTCCCAGATTGATGCTTTGGGCTCAGAGCTGAAGATGCTGGAGAGGAAGGGGCAGCTGACTCCATCCCTGGGAGTGGTGAGTGGCCTTTCATTTGGGTCTTCTTAGTACCCCACAGCTAAACTCTAGTCAGTTAAGGTTGTGGGGAGAAGAGAACTTTTGAAAAACGTATGTTTTCAGGGTCATGGAGGACCAGGTTCATAGTAGTCAGTGTATCAGTAGAGGTGAGGGGAGAGGTAAGGCCTAGAAGTTGGTTGCTCTGGGCTAATAACTGCCTTACCCTCCAGGAGAGGTCTGTGTCTTAGTCTGTTTGGCTTGCTATCATAGATTGTCTGGCTTATAAACAATAGAAATTTATTTCTCAGTTTGGGAGGCTGGAAAGTCTAAGATGCTAGCAGATTCAATGTCTAGGGAGGGTCTTTCTGATTCATAGACAGTGGTTTTCTTGCTGTGTCCTCACATAGTAGAAGAAAAAGAGAATTCTTTTATAAGGGCACTAATCCCCTTCATGAGGGTTCCACACTCATGACCTAATCACTTATCAAAGGCCTAACCTCCTAATGCTATCACCCTGGGGGCAAAATATTTGATCTATAGCAGCTTGGGTTTGCTTGAACCAGATCCAGAGAAAGGGAAAATGGAACACAAACTCCTTTAAATGACTTGTTTCTCTTTCTTTCAACAGGAGGAACAAGCCATTTGGGAACACCTGCCATCAGCTCCAGCTGCAACTCCATCCTTTTAGGGAGTCCAGGGTAGGCAGAAGAGTGGCAGAGGAGGGGGTCCTAAAACTGGAAACCAGGCTCTTTTCTCTCTCTGCCTCTCTAGAAACCCCTCTTCATATGCTTTCTACTTCTAGGGTCTGCTACCCTGTGGTCCATCATGGTTACTGCTGAATCCCACCATGTGTCTGGACTTTTGAGCCAATGTTTTTGTGTGTCAGTTGGGGATCGTGCTTAAATTAAGCTTGTAACTCAGTGTTTCTTATGTAACCACATAGTTTTGTAAAATAATACTTCTCACTGGACTTCTTATTCGCTGTGCATTTAATGAAAAAAAAAGTGCTGTGGTGTTAAAAATGTCAATAACAAACAGTACAAGAAGGGAGAATAATGACTCTCACTAAGATTCCTGACTTATGAAAAAGTAGAAGCAACGAGAGTAGACAGTATCCAGATGTCTTCCCATTTACCAGTAAATCTTACACTTACCCTTTGTGCATCTAGAAATCTGTTACCACCCATGGGTTTCTTGTTTCCCCCGTAGAGTTTCCCTGTAAAAGAGAAGGGGAATCCTTACACTGAGATTCTAGCACTACAGAGGAGTTAAAGTGAAGCCTTTCCTCTCCAGAAAAGTCCATGAAGGTTCTTGTGGTGGAGGCTGCTCCTGGCATTCCACTAAATGCTAAGAACTGAGGGGGCTGCAAAGCAGGAGACAAAAATGGAGCTTGAAGAAAATCATGCAAGGAAATGACTTCTGTACTCAGAGATCTTTGAACAAATATGTAGTGGGTTCTGCCTAGTCTTTCATAGGACAATGTAATTTCCTATGTGGCTATCAATAAAACTCCTTCAAAAAGCCAGGTGTTTGCATTTGGTTCTGGTATTCTAGACAGAAGAAAAGAATTTGGAACGGTGAGCTATCCATGTGTTTGGGCTGAGGTGGGTTCATACTTTCTGGGAGCTATTCAGTGGGCCCTGTGACAACATGAAAGAGCTGGGCTGCCATAAAAGTCTTGAAATAAGAACTTCTGGCTCATAGCAATGTTTTTAGATGGTAGGTACTATGATTGCTCCATAAGGAAGAATGGAGACAGGTAACCTAGGAATATATAGTTCTCTGGGTACAGAGAGTCTGCTTGAGGGACTAGGGGCAAGGGTGGTGGTGGTGGTGGTGGTGGCGGCAGCGGCGGTGTGTGCGTGCGTGTGTGTGTGTGTGTGTGTGTGTGTGTGTGTGTACATGCATGCAGCTGGGGACAACCAGGGATAAGACAAAAAAATCCTACACCAAGATTTTGGGTGTCCAGGAGCCTGCATCCTGAGACCTGCTTCCCCCCAACATACATCATGAACTTTATTTCTACTGATGTTGCATCTTCCATTGCTCCACTTTTTCTCATTCGATCCCTTCACTCACTTCAGTTCTCTCATTCCATTAAGTGCTCTACACACCAAAGAGATCTGTGGAACAGCTAAAGGCAAGTAAGATAAACAGAGTGTTTCCTCATCCCTAAAAAATTACAATCCAATGAAGGCTATATCAACTGAAGAGAAGTGGGTGCCAGCCTGAAGAATAAGAAACGGGGGCGAATGAGTTGAGGTTAATCCAGAACGTTATTTAGGATCAGGAATCAAAGACCTGCATCAGTTTCCCCAAATTCCAGATAAGACTATACCTAGAAATCATGGATTCTCTGAGCAATCTTTTGTGACTAACACTTGCCAGAACTCGGAGTGTCTGGGGAGGAGTCAACTTGTCTCCAGAGACACTGCTGGGTGGTGGGCGGTACAAGCCAGTGATTGTAATCAAATGACAGGAGTGTGGCCGTCCAGGGATAAGCGCATTCTCAGTCCCAGACGTCGTGACTCTCTGCAAGCAGATCGATACACTATAACCTCTAAGCTTCAATTTTGGCTCACGAGCTTTCAGTTTGTTAAAAGTCGTTTGCAAAGCGAGCTGCTTCGGATCGCCCCACCGCAGCAAGGGCAAGGAGGCAGAGCCCAGCCAGGGCGCAGACCCACTGCGCACGCGCAGACACCCCAGACCCGGAAGCAGCTCGGTGCCGGGCATGGCGGCAGCAGCTGAGGCAGTCCCAGCAACGAGACAGGAGGAGCGGGCCAGAGGTACCGGGCGTAGATGGAGATGACGTGTCCGGTGGGAGAGCTGGGACTCCGGGCAGGAACCCAGGACGGCGGGGCCGAGTGTGTGATTGGCAGGAGCGGGCAGAGAGGAGAGGTACACCTGTCTCTGTCCTGTCAAGGCAACTGAGGTGGTTTGGCTAGAGGATAGGATTTAAGCGAGGAGTCTGTGCAAGAGGGCAAAGTTGGCGTGTCGGGTGAGCGAAGACAAAGTGAGGGATTTGAGATTATGGCAGATGGACAGTGGAGCGTACTTGATCGAATTAAGGACAGATGGGGAGGCATGTAGACAGAGGCTGCTTTGGTTGGATTGGTTCGGGTGTAGGGCAGAGATCACTTACCCATTCTCCTTTGGCCCAGACGATGCCGCCGTTGAAACAGCCGAGGAAGCAAAGGAGCCCGCCGAGGCTGACATCACTGAGCTCTGCCGGGACATGTTCTCCAAAATGGCTACGTACCTGACTGGGGAACTGACAGGTGAGGTGCTGTCTAGGTTGATTTAGGTAGTGTGCTCAGCTGAGACTCAGGAGGTGCCTTAGCAGCCGCGGGCAGCGGCTCCCCCGCTTACCCCACTTGCTGGTGGAAGTCTTGAGAGGTCTTGAATGGGAGGAGCCCCATTCCTTCCCCGGAGAAGCTCAGACACCATGTTCAAAATCACAAACCACTTTCGCAAACAGGCAAGAATCCACACTTCATGCAACTCTGCAGGCCTGTAGTGTAACAGAGAGAGATGTGTGTGAGAGAGTGAATATGAATTTACTACTTGGCTTAGGAGAGTTGTATTTTGAGCAGGGTTGTGAAGAGAACGAATGGTGAAAGGGAGGAAATGATACAGTTATTGGATGGGGTGCAGTAAGCAAAGCATTTATTTAGCTAAAGCAGATGTGTTTACTGGGATGAAGAGAAATGAAATGAATGAGGAATGAAGAGTGAAATGAATGGGGAATGAGGAGTGACCTGCAGATTAAGGAACCTATGAGGTTGGTCTGAGTATTTGGTGAACCACCCTTTGAACATGGTTAATTTTTGGTTGACTCAGTTTATATTTCCAGGTGGACATATGGCCTCTGTGTGGAGAAGAGTCAGAAAGTAGTTTGATTTAGCGTGGTCTTTCCTAAGCATTTATTGTATTGTTTCACTTCCCCAGAAAATTGCTGTGAGCTAAATTTGTGAACTAAATCTATGAGAAAAGCTTTGGAGCTTTTTGGAGTTGTGAGTTTTTAATTTATCAATGTGATTATTTGTTTATTTTTGAATAAGAGAAACCAAGCAGCAAAATCTAGATTTTTGATTTCTCTCTAAAAATTCCAAGGATTTGGCAACACTAATGTTCCATTTATGTGCAGTTGTATTTAACAAGAGTTGAGCAGATGCCTCTTCTAAAAGGACTAATGTGATTCAGTTCATTCCACTACTCTGTTTTCTCCCCTTTACTAAGACTTACTGTTTGTTGTCATTTATCACTATTCCCCTATTGTTATTTTACTAATTGTAGTGCAGAAATGGTTTTCTATACCAATGTCTTTATCAAAACTGGTAAAGTAAGTGATAGACTAAGAGGACCACATGCTTCAAGAATTGGGAGGGAACACTTACAGAAGTGAATAATTTTCTTATGTATGTTTAATATGCAGACACCTGAGTTGCTTCACTTGTTTACATTATCTTGCAGGTTTCTATCTTTGCTGACTTCTTCCTTGTTTCAGAGAGACTGTAACTTGAGAGCAGTGAAAGTACAGATATGGAGGAGGGAGACAAGAGATAAGATGACCAATAGTTAGGATGCAAAGCAGTGATGGTCTGAGGTAGAATGATGGTAAAAGGAATGGAAAGGAGAGAGTGGATTCAAGAATGTTACAGAAATGAACTTTATAGGACTTGTTGAGGTGTGTATTGAGCAGCTTAAGATGTTTCTGAGGTTTAGGCCTGGGTGATATAATCAAAATATGGAAGCTGGAGAAATGATGTTTACTGTGAAAATAGTGTTTTCAGGGTTGGCTGCTTGTCACTATTACTAGGATAGTCAGATCACTTTTTTCAAGATACTCACGTGACTTGTACATGTGAGTCCAGAGCTCAGAGCCTAATCGGAGCAGGAGAAAGAGATTTGTGGATCACCTGCAGAGTTAGGTATGAGAATGGAGGCTATACAGGATGATATTGCCAGGGAAGAGCTTAGAGTAGGCCTCTTCAGAAACTAAAGTGTTGGGGAATGCTCATATGGGCCAATTAATTTGTTTTTAATAACTGTATAAAATACCAAGAATTCCTAAGGCCTATTTACTACAAAATTAATTTTAAGCAGATTGTTATTTCCCCATTTTTATCATTCTTACATACACAAATGCTTTTTTGAGTTTGAGAAGAAGCTAGCATAATCTTGGGAATGCCCGTGGGACTGTAAATATCAGTTACATGTCACAGCTGAGAAGTTGAGAGCTGATGGTTGAAGGGGTTGAATGAGAAAGGATCTGGCATAGAAACCTGAGAAGAGCAGTCAGAAAGATTGGAAAATAAATATAGTACAATACTGTAGCAGCCAAGGGAAATGAGGATTTCCCCAAGAGAAGGATAACAGTGGGGTCTGAGACAATGGAGAGGTACAGGAGGATAAGCACTTAGAAAATACCATGAGTTTGGTGGTTAGAAAGCCATTGATGACCTTAAAGCTTGTAATTTCTCTGGGTAGTGGGGGCAGAGAACAGACAAGGTTTTACATGGATGAATGGTAAGGAACAGGTAGCAGTGTCAGCTACTATTTAAAACTGTTTAGCAGTAAAGTTCCTTGGCCTTACTGAGCAAATGAATAAAAGTAGTTCTGTGGAGCAGGAGGAAACCTAAATATATTTCTAGATAGAGGGAAATGTGCCAGGATGGAGAGACAAGTTGGAAAGACAAGTGAAAGGAGATGATTGAAAAGAGGTCTGAAGAAGCAAAAGGTTTGGGATCAAGAGCACAAGGGGAGGAGTTGTCTTTGTCTTGCCTTGAACTACTACTTGACCTAATAGTCTACATTCCAGTGATCTAAGACAATCTCAAAGGCATCATATCTTCTATTTATTTTAAAGCCACCAGTGAAGACTATAAGCTCCTGGAAAATATGAATAAATTAACCAGCTTGAAGTATCTTGAAATGAAAGATATTGCTGTAAACATTAGTAGAAACTTAAAGGACTTAAACCAGAAGTGTAAGTAATAATTTTTATAATTAAAGATGTTTGTATTAAATGTTCTTTTGTGTTTGGAGCCAAGGCAAAGAGTAGGGAACATGGCATCCCTATCTCCTGGGGGCAGATAAATGAATTACAAAATCAAAATCAAAGTGACTTTCTTCACTTCTGAAGATTAGCATGCTTTGATAGTATGTTTTTTCCTGCCTCCAAATCTTTTTTAGAAGGTTTTTTTGGTACTGAGGATCAAACTCGGGACCTTGTGCTTGTGAGGCAGGCAGTGGAACCATTGAGCTAAATCCCCGGCCCATCTATTTTTTTTTTTTTTTTTTTTGTACCAGGGGTCAAACTTGGGTCCTTGCGCTTGCCCAGCAGGCGGCAAAACCACTGAGCTAAATCCCCGGCCCATCTATATTTTTTTTTTTTTTTTTTGTACCAGGGGTCAAACTTGGGTCCTTGCGCTTGCCCAGCAGGCGGCAAAACCACTGAGCTAAATCCCCGGCCCTCCAAATCTTGATTTTATCAGTTTAGTTTTGGAAGGGGTGGGGGAAGAAGGGGAGTAGCTAGATTCTAGTGAAATGATTTATAATGAAATCCATAAAGGTCTGTTCTACATAATACATGAAAGACTTCTGTTTATAACAGAAAAACAAAATCTATAAATGGAAAAGGGTAATTTAGAACATAGTTGGATGTATTTTTCCACTGATTTATATTTGTGTTCCTTGTCATTAGAGTGGTGGTGGTGAACCTATGGCATGCATTCCGCAGCGGGCTGTTTGTATCATTGAAAGCTCTAAAAGGTTTGCCATCACTGCACTAAAGTATCCTTCTTCAGTATGCAAGTACACAGGAAACTAAATCAGTAAAGAAAGGTTGCTTGAGGAACAAGGAGTTTTAAAAAGAGGAAAATTAGTAGATAGGGAAAACTTACTTTGATTAGGTCACAATTGTGCCTGATTATGAGTTACTGTCTTCTAAGAAATCACCTGCCCTACTAATGATGAGAAATGTACCCCAGTCTGTGTGAGTCATAGCTGGAGAGACACTAGCATTCTTATTTTCTGCTCTTTTTTTTCTACACTTCTTGTTGAAAATATATAAACACATGGTTTGTCTTTAAAGATGCTGGACTACAGCCTTACCTGGATCAGATTAATATAATTGAGGAGCAGGTAGCAGCTCTTGAACAGGCAGCCTACAAGCTGGATGCATATTCCAAAAAACTGGGTAACCATTTTTTTCTATTTTGATTTCATAAAGAGTGTGTCTTGCCAGTGATGTCCTTAAATAATGTAGCATTTGTTGTGTGCATACGTTGCTCTATTGAAATCTAATGAATAATTATTATTTAAAAAATTTCCCAAATACTTAATGACCTACTGGGCAATGTTCTTAGTGTTTTACATACATATGTTTTTTATTTTCCTAGTAATTTGTGAGTTAAGTACATAATCTTTTTATTCCCAAACTATAGGGGAGGAAAATGTGATTTAAGAGGCTAAGTAACTTCCTTAAGGACACAAAGCCAGTAAAGCACATGGAAGAGCCACATTCCAAGTTAGGACTGTTTGATGACAATGCTCAAGCTTTTAATTGTGGTTCAGTATACTGAATCATCTTTAATAAGGTACATACATGTGTATTTAAAATGAAATAGTCGTGGGACGAGGTGGCAGAGTGGTTAAGACAATGGACTGCTGAAATGGAATAATCAAAGATTTTTTTTGAAGGATTACTTTTACTTTAAGAAGAAAACTAATACTTTTAGTGTTGCTAACTGGTTCTGGCTATTATATCACTGGTGAAAAGTAATGAATTTGTTTTTATCCTATACACATTTTATTTTCATCATTGACAATTGGTTGGTTTATAACAGGCTGAAATTTAATATTGGTAGTGAGAAACAATCAGTTTCATTGACTGCAGTTATATTTAGTACTTGTTTACTGTGAACCTTACCATATAGAAGGCATTATACCATGTGCTTTTGAAGTTTTAAAGGGAAAAAGAGAATTTCTCAGCAAGGGGCTTATTTGATGGCCTTTAAAAATCTCTGGGGCTGAGGATTTAGTTCAGTGGTTCTGCTGCCTGCCTCGCAAGCGCAAGGCCCCGAGTTTGATCCCCGGTATTAAAAAAAAAAAAAAATCTCTGTATCTTTCTGAATTGCTTTCCTGGAGTGAGATGTAAGGATAAGAACATAAAATGGGAAACATACATCTATACATACTGAGTATTCCAGTCTGATTCCAGAGAGCACCTGGGATTGTGTCTGGCAAGGCAGTTTCCAGTGCTTACTAAGACTCCAGATGAGTCAAATACCAGGAGATCTGCTCAATTCTGGTGAAGCTTTTCAAGCAAGTGCAATATTGACAGGGTTAGAACTTAGTGACCTTGTTTTGGTTCTGGGTATATACATTTGACTCTTTAATTTCAGTTTGTACAGATTAATGGTATGTATTTTTGGGCTGGTGATGAAACCAATGCTAATAGATTTTTAGAAATATATGTGTATCTGAACTTGCTTAGAAATACTAAAAGTGTCTTTGTGAGAGTCAGTGTTAAAACATATCATGTTTTCCTCTTCCCCATGCAGAAGCCAAGTATAAGAAGCTGGAGAAGCGATAAAAAGCTTATTCCTATAGCTAAAAGGCCTTTTTAAATGTGGAAGAATGTTTTATAGCAGCTGAATCCTGAGGCTGATGAATTGTCAAAATTCCTCAAAAGGAACCTTGCTGGTCATCCCAGGAACATCCCAACGTTGGATAAACTCGAGGACTGTGGATACTCTTGAACCTCCTTTGAGGCAGTATCTGTCAGAAATTCACACTTACAGCTCTTTACCTGTTACTTGAATGCTTCATCATCCACCCAAGACAAATACTTTCTCAAAGTTCAGGATAAACCTGGGCTTACCAGTAGTATCAAATGAGAGGACCTGTTTTCTCTGGCAGTGGTTGATTACTATATTATTTTCTTAAATGGCTGGCTTTTGAGTTACTGTGTAAATGGTTGTTTTTCTATTAACAATGCTAATGTTATTAAGATACTAAATTAAAAAAGGAAAGCAAAACGAATGTGGTTTTTATAGTCTGTTACCTTTTGAATGTCAGTAATTTACTTTTCCATAACATTGCAAATAACAAAATGTTAAAAAACAATTCCAAGCTGAATCTTAACAGACTGAGCAGAAGTAGTGAAAGGAATATTTTGATAGCTTGGTGAATGGGATGGGTCCCTCTTGTCTCTTTCTGTGTGAGTCAGATGTCTCAGTGGGATGGTATCTTGACATGTGTTCTCTTTCTGAAATGCAGTAAATCCAGGTGCAGTAGCACATGCCTGTAATCCCAGCACTCAGGCTGAAGTGGTAGGATCACCACAAGTTTGAAGCTAGCTACATAGTGAGTTCAAGGCCATCCTGGAATACATAGCAAGACACCACCACCCCACCACCACCCCACCCCAGCAAAAAAGAAAGAAACACGATGACAAGATGTGGATGTATTAGGTGAGGAAGTGATGGTTGGCATCCATGAAATAAAATATTTTTAAGGTATTTCATATTTGTGTCTGTGAGGCCGAGGTGGGGCTTCTGGGAACCTGATTGTCAGCCTTTTACACTAATGATGAGATGATAAAAGTTACTCTGACCAGTTGGAATACAAGTGATCTTATCCAGAGTAGTGTTAGAAGCTAACAAAGTCCCAGATGCTGCCAATTCCACTTCCAAAACAATTCATTTCTGTTTCTGTCTTTTCCCACTATGTCTATTCCAGATCCCATCACTTGTCCTTTGCTCCTTTATACTACTGGGGTCCTTTCTCAACTGTCCTAAACCGTCTTCCACATTGCTACCACAGCAATCTTTCTAAAATGTAAATTAGCCATATTACTCTCACTTAGAATCCTTTTGTGACTTTTCATGGCATCTGAAAAGGCCAGGCTTTTAAAATTACTATTGTATTTATACAAGGCCTCTACTTTAAAGAAAATTTAATTCCATTTCCTGTTACTCCTATATTTACAGTATATTCAGCTCTCGTTAGCTACCTTAAATTTCTACAGATAAGTTCATAAACATTAGAATAGATTTGGATATTCAGGAAATTTATACAGATAGTACAGAGTTCCATGAGTGAGTTTTCATAACTTACTGTTATTTCTTCATCTGGGATTTATTGCCTGAACATATTTGGCAAACTTTCAGCCTTGAATGCCATTCCTGGGCAGTGCTGTATTAATGAAAAAGTAGGAAAAAGTGCATGTTCTATGTGCCAGTAAAGAAGGGCATCAATATTTATGGGGTAAAGAAATTAGTATTCCCCTTGAAAGCATTGCAGAAATTGTGGGCAAAAACCCCCACAAAAGCTTTAGGGTTCTTGCTTAAACTTATGTTTGACTTATTTGGATGTCAGAAACTTTCTCTTGTTTCTGTTTCCTCATTGTATTCTTTGTCTTCTGCTAATTAGCCTACAATCCTCAGAAAAGTCAAGGTGAAAAACAAAACCAAAAAGATTGGTAGAGTTTTGCTGACTAAGAGATTAGAGATATAACCAAATGAAAGTGTGAAACCTGATTGACTCTTGAATGAAAACAAAGCCGAGGCATAAAATCAACGTGAGAGGCTAACTGGAGAACTTTAAATATGGATGTGTATTAGGTGATGTTATTGAATTCATGTTAATTTTCTAGATGTACTAGGTATTGTGGTTACCTTGGACGATGATGTTCTTGGGTCTTGTTTTTTTTTTTTTTTTTTCCTGCTACTGGGGATTGAACCCAGGGCCTTCGTACTAAATTGTCCAGCATGCGCTAGAACTTGGGATCCTCCTGCCTTGGCCTCCCAGAGCTGGGATTACAGGCGTGCACCACGGCAACTGGCTGTGGTCCTTATTCTTAAGAGACAAATGCTAAGGTATTACTGATGCCTGCACTTTCAAAAGACTCAACCGAAAAAAAAAAAAAAATGCTTGGGCACCTTGATAGAAAGAGAGCGTGCACAAGTTTGGTAAGGTGCTGACACTAAATCAAAGTGATGGCCATTACTCTTAATTATGTGATAGGTTTAAAACTTTAGAAAACGTAAAGTGGATCAGCCTCGCTCTCTAAACCACTGTGGTTACCTTACGTTTGGGCTCAACATTGTGCGGGAAAATTACTTGTAGCTTACTAACTTCAAATGCTTGGGTCGGGGGCGGTATTTATAATTGGAATTCTTTTGCTTATTTCCTCTTCCTCCCGCTACCTCTTTTTTTTCTTGATTCTGCTTGAGGCAAAACCACCCGACAGGTTTCTGTCCTTTGGTGCTCTCCGTAGCTACTGCATTCTCATTGGCTAAAGTACGCTGACGTCTTATAGTAGCGTGGTGGCATTTTCCTAGGAGCGTAGGTTCCTGTTTCCAATCGTAGGTGGTCGGCCCAGCCAAGGGTACTGGAACTAATGGCTCAGAAACCTCTGCGCCTGTGAGTGACCCTGAATTGGAAGTGTTTGTGTGTATATGTATAGGGATAGGCGGGGGTCAAGGGATTGCAGGGTTGCTGGGAAGGTCGGGGTGTGTGTGTGTGTGTGTGTGTGTGTGTGTGTGTGTGTGTGTGGAGGGGGGGGGGGGGAGAGAGAGAGAGAGAGAGAGAGAGAGAGAGAGAGAGAGAGAGAGAGAGAGAGAAAGAAAGAGAGAAAGAGAAAGAAAGAGAGAAAGAGATAGGTGGGATCAGGAAGTCACAGGGCTGCTCGGAGGCTCCGGAGAGATCTTCACCTGGCTGGAGTCGGCCTCTTGCAGGCGGTTTGAGGAGGCATAAGCTCCCGGAGTCCGGAGTCCGAATTCCTTCATCTTGTGCCGTCTTGGCCTGTGACACATCATCTCCCCTTCATTTCTCCCATCACACCATTTGCTTGTTAACCAGATATTTCTAAGCCTTAGGCACACTGATGGGCCCTTGGCAGTGATGGTAAGGATAGAGAATAGCTCTGCCCAGGCGCACTTGGGTGAGGGGAGGTAGTGAAAGGGAGGATGGTGAAGAGAGAACTTCGTTCATTCAACAAGTATTTATTTAACTGCAGTATGCTAGCCGCAGTGCTAGGCTTTGCACAGATGGAGTTCCCTCTTTAATGGAGCTTGTAGTCTAGAGGAACAGTTATTAAAATGTACAGATAAACGTAAAATTACAAAAGTGCCACGGTAACACGGTTCTGCAAGGATGTATAGTAGTAGTATTTAGCTTAATGGTCGGAATCAGGGGCGTCTTCCCTGAGAAAAAAAGGGATTAAGTCCTTTAAATTATTTTTGTCTTTAACCCAGAGAAGTCATTAAAACGTTTATACTTCTCGGCATGATCAAATTTTTGTTTTAGAAAGTGATTCTGGCAGCAGTGGGGAAATAAGTGACATCAAAAGTAGAGGACAAGTAAGATTAGATAGAGTGATAGCAGAGCAAAAATTCAGGAATGAAAAGTTTACTAAGGAAGTGAAATCTGTAAGGCTAGTTTGATTGTGAGTGAGTTGTCATTGTTCAGTTATAGATCTCCTTCAGTAGGATAAGGAACACTGAAAAGGAGCCCAAATGAAAAAATAAAATGAAAATGAAAAATTTGTGTGTGTGGATCAAAATCAGGTCCTAGGCAAGCAGTTCACCATGCATCTAAATCCTCAGCCTGCAGATAATAAATTTTGAGGTGTCTCACGATGTACAAACTGGACACTGTATCTCCCAGACATAATTATAATTTCATGTAACAATTACTATGGGAGAAGAAGTGCAGAATCCTGTGGGAGCATCAAGAATTGGTAACTAATAGGGACTGGATGCTTCCCTAGAAGAACTGGTATTCAGAAGATAAATCAAAAAGTTACAGTTTATGACAACTTGTTCTGACATGCTATGTGGGCTTATGAGATTTTGAGAAGCGAGTGGCTTCCTGAATTGGTCAAGAAAGTTTCAGAGACATTCTGGGCCTTGAATGATGGGAAAAGTTTAGACTCAGGGTGGTAGGGTGGGACTGTTAAGAGAGGTAAGATCCTCTAGGGAATGGCAGAGACAGAGTGATCAAATTGACAGTATCGGGAAGTTTCAGCATGGTCACACACTGATGCTTACAAGTTCCAGTATCTAATAGAACCAATAGTCTTGATAATGCAAGTCATTTTTTCCCCATCTTTAGAAACCTACATGAGAACAACCAGATCAAATAGATCTGTAGCTAATGTGTGTATATTCTTTTTTTTTGTTACCGGGGATCGAACTCGGGACCTTGCACTTGCAAGGCAGGCAGCAGTACCACTGAGCTAAATCCCGGCCCGCTAATGTGTGTATAAATGAACAGTTTCTTTTGCTTCATGTCTGAATGCTGCACATCTGTTTGGATTGAATATTGTGTTTGTGTATTTATGCTTTGATTCATAGTAATGTCTCATGGAATTGATGTAAGAAGTGGGAAAACCATATAAATCAGAATTAGAAAAACTCAGAAATGACATGATAGAACAAGTCACTTAACAATTTGGGGCTAGTTTACCTTACCAATCTTGGCTCTTGACATGTTACTTCCTGCTCCATATTCATGCCTCCTATCATAGCCCTTTCTATATAAACTTACCAGAGTATCTTTCCTACCTGATTGTAAACTCTTTGAGGCTTTAACAGTCTTCCTCCTCTTTATGCTGCTCACATGTTCTTAGCATTGTACTTGGGATATTGCACTTAACATAGTGTAGGTGTCTGTTTGTTGAATGAATGACTAAAACCCTCTACTAAGATAGAGGCACTGGAAATAAGGAGAGAATGAATGTGAAAAATGTTTGGCAAAAGGGCTTGATGAGAATTGGTGGCTAGATGGAGGATTCTGGACTCTTGGTGACCAAGTTGGTGATAGACCCATCCATAAAACTTTGGCATAAGAAGCTGGCTCAATTGTGAAGGAAATAAAAACCCAAAGTTTAGATATGATGAGTTGGAGGTATTGATGAGACCTTCAGGTGGAGCTGCTCAGTGGTTAGTAATAGTTTACAAATATCAAACCTTGTAAGGTAAGTGTAGAGACTGGATCATTATTTACCTAATCCAGAAGACTAGTACATGCATACT